AAAGAACTGGTACAAAGTTTATTTTTTAGTGAAAGACTTCTATCCTTGGTATTGCCATATTTTTTTTGTCAGACATCTATGACAAATTTTAACGGACTGAATTTTGAGGAAGCATGTGACTGCACCTGTCCAAGCATAAGCTCTTTGAAGGAACAACTTTACTATTTTATACATTGAACATTCATCTTCATTAAAAAGTAAGTAATTAATAAGTAATATTGTATACCTTAAGATTTTCTAAGTAGCAAACTAATTCTAAATCTTAAAAAAGAACATTGTTACCTTGTTTCATTTAGCTGCTGTTACATTTAGAGCATTAGTTAAGAAATAACCAATAGCTTTCCATAGCTAGTTTGGAGTGTTAATATTCTGGATACTTCATTTGCTGATTGATTATATAGTCTGAGTTATTTCTTTTTTATAAATAAGTTCTTTTATTGAGAAAATACTGTACAGAGGGGTTACAGTTACATAGTTACATGAGCAAGGTAATGAGTACATTTTTGGGGGGGGTCAGGTCGTGGGGCCTAACTCTGGGCCTGGGCACTGCCCTTCAGCTCTTCAGCTCAAGGCTAGCACTCTACCACTTGAGTCACAGCGCCACTTCTGGCTTTTTTTTTCTGTTTATGTGGTGCTGAGGAATCGAACCCAGGGCCTTGAGCATGCAAGGCAAGCACTCTACCACTGAGCCACTTTCCCAGCCCATGAGTACATTTCTTATCAAGCATTGTTGCCTCCTCCTTTTTTCCCCCTACCATCCCTTCCTTCCCATCTCCTCAACTACACTGCTTCCCCTTCCCCCCCTCGTCCCCCTGCCTAAATTGTAAAGTTCGTTTTTCAACATAGTGTCTTCTACATCTCATTGTTACAATGGGTCAACCTGTATCCCTATTTAAACATTTTGTTTTTTCCCTTCCCTTCCCCAAATTAAACCAACATCAAATACAGTGACAACAGGGGTTATACCATGGGGGAGGAACATATAGAACAACAAAAAATCACATGGTATCTTATAAATACATTAGAAACAAGAACAAGAAAGAAAAAACCCACTTGTTTCCCTATCTTGGGGTTCATTTTGCTTAACATCATCTTATCTGACCTTTTCTGCTTGTACCAGACATAGACTAGTTATTGCAAATAAAGGAAACCATGGGACCTATGTTTCTTTGGGTCTGGCTTACTTCACTTAATATAATTTTTTCCAAGTCTTTCCATTTCCTAACAAATGGAGCAATGTCGTACTTTCTGATAGAGGCATAGAATTCCGTTGCGTATATATACATTTTCTTGATCCATTCATCTACTGAGGGGCATCTGGGTTGCTTCCATATCTTAGCTATGGTAAATAATGCTGCAATAAACATAGTCATACTGGTAGCTTTAGTGTGGTCTTCTTTGTGAACATTTGGGTAAATGCCCAAAACTGGGATTGCTGGTTCATAGGGGAGCTCTATGTGAAGTCTTTTGAGGAACCTCCATACTGCTTTTCAAAGTGGTTGAACAAGTTTACATTCCCACCAACAATGCAATAGGGTTCCTTTCTGTCCACATCCCCTCCAGTATCAGTACCTGTTGTTATTAGAGTTCTTGATTATAGCCATTCTAACTGGGGTGAGGTGGTATCTCAGTGTTGTTTTGATTTGCATTTCTTTTATGGCTAGGGTGGTAGAGTATTTCTTCATGTGTCTATTGGCTATCCTTATTTCCTCTTCAGGAAAGTTTCTCTTTAAGTCTTTAGCCCACTTTTTGATTGGATAGTTGTTTCTTTGAGGATTTGTTGTTGGGGATTTAATTTTTTGAGTTCCAGGTATATTTTAGATATGAGATCCTTGTCCACGCTATGACTAGTGAAGATCATCTCCCAATCTGTGGGCTTTCTATTGATCTTGCTAGCTATGTCCTTTGCCATGCAGAAGCTCTGCAGTTTCATGCAATTCCATTTGTCCACCCTTTCTTTGATTTTTTGTGTTTCATGAAAATGGCAATACTTCCCAAGGCTATCTACAAATTCAATGCGATACCTATCAATATTCCAACCTCATTCTTCAAGGAAATAGAAGAGGCAATCCAAAAATTCATATAGAACAATAAAAGACCCCGGATAGCAAAAATAATCCTTAACAGAAAGAACAGTGCTGGAGGAATATCAATGCCAAATTTCAAACTCTACTACAAAGCCATAGTAATCAAAACAGCTTGGTACTGGTACTAGAAGAGACCTCAGTGCCCATGGAATAGAATTGATAATCCAGAAATGAGCCCACAGAACTATAGCCACTTAATCTTCTATAATGAAGTTATAAAACTAGAATGAAGAAAGACAGCCTCTTCAGCAAATTGTGCTGGCAAAATTGGTTAATCACCTGTAGAAAATTAAAGCTAGATCCTGCACGAGAATCAACGCCAAATGGATCAAAGACCTCAGAATCAAAGCAGACACCCTGAAAACATTACAGGATGGAATAGAAGAAACCCTAGGTCTCATTGAATTATTTCTAAAATGGGGCCAGTCCAAACTTCTCAGATCCAATAATCACTTAATAGAAAGATCTAGCCTCTGGAAGTCAAATTTGATCTCCCAAAGATATATACACAACTAACTTCATGTTGCCTTTTATCTTCATTAGTATTTTAAATCTAATCATGAGACTTGGAAAAAATTATATTAAGTGAAGTAAGCCAGGCCCAAAGAAACATAGGTCCCATGGTTTCCCTTATTTGCAATAACTAATATATGTCTGAGTCAAGCAGAAAAGGTCAGATAAGTTGATGTTAGGGGAATGAACCCCAAGGTAAGTATTCAAATGATTTTTTGTTTTTTTTTCCTTTCATGCAATTGTTTCTAACATATTTATAAGATGATTTCTTTGTTGCTTTGTATGTCCCTCCCCCACGGTATAACCAATGCTTTCACTGTATTTGATGTTGGTATAATTTGTGGAGGGGAAGGGAAAAAACAAATCGTTTAACTAAGGATACAGGTGGACCCATTGCAACAATGAGATGTACAAGTTGTTATGTCGAAAAACGAACTTTACAACTTTGGTGGGGTGTAGGGGGAGGATCGGGTGGGGGGAGGGGGGAGTCTGGGAAGGGATGGGAAGGGGAAACAAAGAGGAAGCAACAATGCTTGATAAGAAATGTACTCATTACATTGCCCATGTAATTGTAACTCTGCTGTATGGTATTCTCACAATAAAAAAATGAGTTTCTTATTTTAAAAATAAGTTAAAATATTTAATAAAGGACTTCAAGTCTATCCTTTTAAACTTATAGACAAAAGGTTTATACTTTTCTTAATCTGTTCTCTGAATTGATTGTATATTCTATGGTTATTTAAGACTATGTTTTATAAAGATATATAGTAATCTTAGATACTGATCCCCATGGCTGGAAATAATGTATTTCATGTAAATATTTATAATAGAAATAATATATTTAATGTACAACTTTTGTAAGCTATATAATTTAAAAATCAAAGAAAAGAAAAAAGCTAAAAATGAAAACAATTACATTTTCCAGTTAGAAACTGATTTGGAAAATACTGCTTTTCTTTATGAGACATTGATAGACATTCATTTTTATGAAACTTTCTGGTTAAATTAAGAGAACTACATAGACCCTGCTACCTTACATGCTAGACTTGGAGATCAATTTATCTTTTGTGCAACTACATTTATGTTTTTGTTGAAGTAATTGTTAAAATACTGACAAATTATTATTATTGTACAATGCAATAATAGAAAGGTCTACAATATTCCATTCACAATGTTATAGTTACATTCATTATAAGACAATTGAATACACTGAATACACTGAAGCTCTAGAAAAAGGGTATTTCAATCACAGAAATGTATCTTTTAAAACAACGTTTCAGGCAATGAAAAGTGAACAGAATAAAAGCTTCCAGAATAGCATAATGACTTATATTTCTCTGTAACAGACTGTCAAGTAAGTCAATGGTAAGGATTTTGCTTAAGAACCAACCAAGTATAGTTACAATTTTATGTTAGAGAGTAAATTTGACATACATGAATGGAGATGTTGAGACTAAATATTTTAAAACAGTATCTAAAGACATCATTTAAAGTAAGTTGTGGCAGTATTTCTAAATATTTCTACTATTTGTGAATTAAATAAACATCACATAATCTATGGATAATAGTTTGTTTCTAAAGTTTTAGCCTTTTATTCCTGCTCAGTCATACTTTTCTCATAGACAATTGGGAAAAAGAGTTAGAGAATACTCACATATTGCCAAAGAAACTTATATTGTTCATTTTAAAGGCTAATTCAGATTGTTATGAAAATAGAGTCATAAGCAGGCACAATGCTTCATGCTTGTAATTCTAGGTTCCTGGGAGGAGGAAATATGAAGAATCACCATTCAAGACCAGCCAAAATGAAAGAAAAAAGTTCATGAGACCTCGTCTCACTGAAAAAAGGTGAGCATGGTAGTACATATGCTTGTTATTCCAACCATGAGGGAGATATAAAAGAGAATTGAAGTCTGGGTCAGATTGAGCAAGAAAAGAGAGAACCTACCTGAAAAATACAAAGAACTGTGAGAATGGATTAACTGGTAGAGAACCTGCCTAGATAGTCTAAATCTCTATTCTGTAAAAAATAATAATGTCAGAACTGTGGTTCCTTATCATTCCTAGTTTATTAATTGATTATATTATCTGCATATAAAGAAATTCTGTTTAGTGCAAATAACAATGAATCATCAATAATGCCTGAGGCAAAGGCAGATGTATTGTTAGAACAGTCATGATATAAACCTCAGTCATGATGTGAAAGTCTTCACACATCAGAAAGAAAATACATAAAAAGCTTTTAAAATAGGCCCCAACATATGGGAAATGCTTCTTCAGCAATTACATTAAATTAGAAAAATGATAAAATTAGGAAAACAAAATCATGAGTCTTTTCTACCAACATTAAAAAACAATACAAGTAAACCAACCGTATAAGAAAAGGACCTGTGAACTTACAGTTGTTGTGTAAGCGGCTTCTGGATCATCTTCCAGCACCCGGGAAAGACCAAAATCCGAAACTTTGCATACTAAGTTGCTGTTTACCAGAATATTCCTCGCTGCTAGATCCCGATGAACGTAGCCCATATCAGAGAGATACTTCATGCCAGATGCAATCCCTCGGAGCATGCCGACCAGCTGGATGACGGTGAAGTGGCCATCGTGTTTCTGCAAGAGAATCACATTTTTCAGATTGAATGAGTTTAACGTAGTGTGAAAATGTGTGTATGTGTGTGTGTGTGTGTGTATGTGTGTGTGTAGTAAAGCAACTCTTTGTATTTGTTGTACTGTAGAATACTCCCAACCAGAGGCTAAAAATTCAGTCTTATTTTCAGTCACCTGCCAACAATTTCTTTTCTACTTGCTTAGCTAATACAAGGAAACAAATAAAGGAAGATAAGCATCAAATTTGCTGGCTATCGAGTTTGTTCATAAGGGAATTTGAGGAATTATTTGCCCTTTAAAGAAAGGGAAAATCTAGCTGGAAGCAATGAAGGTGAGCTCAACCAAAGACAGAAGGGAACTAGCCAAAATAACTTCAAGAAAAAAACAATCTCCAAGTTCCAAGTAACCAAAGGAACTAAAGTTAAATAATGGCAACAACTGCTACTTAGAAAATAGAATATTCTCTGTAATTGCAAGCAATAAATTAGCTACTCTGGTTAGCAAAAGGGTCACAAAGCCTATGATTGGATGAAATTGGTAACTAGAAATACTATGAATAATGGAAGTCAGGCCAGGACACTTTAACGTAATGAAAAATGTTAGCATTAACAAGAAACAAATTTAGGAATGCTTCAGAAGAAAGACAAACACAGACACACAGAAAAATAAGTAGATTTTTCCCCATTGTTTAGGACAAACAGTAAAGAAGTTGCTGGCTATTAATTAAGAAGAAGACTGCATCTGAGAGGATTAAGTTAAATACCACCATGTGAATAATGAACCCCAGATAGGGTAATGTTATGTAATAGTCAAGTCCCTCTGCTTTGATTTTAAACAATGTAGATTTTTTTTACAACAGTATAAAACAAAGCCCATGTATAATCTGTGTGACATATATGTTCTGACAAAATTAGATACAAGTAACATCGTTTAAGTTAGGAAAGATGAAAATATTTTATACTTGAAAAGTAATGCATCTTGTTTCACTTAATTATTTGTAAATCATTCTCTTTAATAGAGTTGTAGAAAAACAAAAATTCTCAAGCTGTTTTATACAACAAACAAAATTTATTTAAGTGATATTACAACAAATATCTAGTAAAACCTATAATTCCATATTACTTTACACCACACAATAGAAGCACAAAAAAGAATATTTCAAATTGTCCATATTAAAGCTGCTTCTATGAAAATGTTTCACTTAAAACTGCAACATAGCAGAAACCCATGTACAGTTTGACTGTATCTTTCACAAAGACACAGCATCATTTACAATGGTGATTCATTGTTCAGTTAAATAAGCTTATAGCCATAAATGAAATAAACTTTATCTTACTCTATCAACTTATCTCCCAGGTAGCTTTCTGATAATATCTTGCAACTCCTGTGCAAAGTAAGGGGAAAGAACTCTCTCTTAAAAGAAGCACTCTCCTAGCAAGAGAATCCATTGAAGCAAGCTCTTCTGTATAATTAATGTCGAAAAGATAACCTAGCAGAGAAAATCTTTGATGTTATTAGCTCTTTATGTTTCGAATCCATCTTCTTAGACAGTACACTATTAGATGAAATCAGTGTCTTCTATCATGTATCCTGCCTGCTTACCTTTCGTGCTAGGAATCTCAGAATTTCTGAGTAGAATTGAAAGCATACATTCTTGTGGCCTGGAGAGTATCACACTAAATTAAAAAAAAAGTTTCTACTTTTAGTTCAGAAAGTGAAGTTAGATCCTATTATGGTTATTTTCAGGCCAAATGGGAAATGTAACTAAATGGCAGAAATGGAAATGTAAACTAATCACTATAAAATTGGAGTATCTTGGTTCCTTTATTTGAATAGAATCATCATACTCAGAATTGGAGGGCAGAATCCCATACAAAGTGGAGAGCAATTAACTTAATAATGTTCTATTTAATAAATAAACCATTGATAAGTAGCCAATGAAATTTTTATAGTTATAATGATTTAGAACATTCTTTGTTTCTTGAAAAGTGAATTGTTATTTTAAGCTCCCACATATATCAAATAAAATAGTTGTAGAAGGCCAAGTTGAATTTAATTTTTTATTTATTCTGAGGGTGATGAAAAGCACCATGTATTTAATGATCAAGATATAATTCCCATAGCATACAATTTACCTATTTAAAACTGATAATTTATTTGCTTTAATATATTAATAGGATTGTGAAATTATCCATAATATCAATTGTATGATTTTTTCATCACCCTGTAGACACTAACCATTTTTCCTCAGTTTTCCCCACTACTATAAGCCACACTAATACCTTACTTTCTATCTCTTTAGATCTGCCTGTGTTGCATATTTTTCAATAAGTAGAACATACAGTTTATGCTGTAAAAAATTTCCAAGACTGATTCACATGGTAACATGTATCAGTAGTTTACTCTTTGTGTGTGTGTGTGTGTGTGTGTGTGTGTGTGTGTGTGTGTGTGCATATGTGAGTGTGTGTGTTTGAACTGAGGCACTGGAGCTATCCCTGGGTTTTTTTTATTGTCAAGATGATGTACAAAGGGGTTACGGTTACATAAGTGACTTGTCAAACTTGTTACCCCATCCCTCATTTTTCTCCTACTTTCCCTCCCTGGCTTTTTTGTTCAAGACCAGTGCTCTACTATGTGACCCACAGCTGCACTTCCAGATTTTTGGTAGTTAATTGGGCATAAAAGTCTCATGATTTTTCTGTACTTTAAACCATGATCTCAGACTTCAGCCGTATTACAGGCATGAGCCACTGGCACCTGGCTACTGCATACTTTTTATTGTTAAATATTTTACTCTGCTTGTATTCATGAACCAGTTGATAGGTGTGTGAGTTGTTTCTATATTATACAGGTTATTTTTAATTGATTTTTCTCTCTTCCCCTCCTTCATGTGCCCATTGTTGGGCTGGAATTTAGGGCTTAGGTGCCATCCCTGAGCTTTTTTACTCAAGGCCATTACTCTACCATTGAGCCACAGCTCTACTTCTGACTTTTTTTTGTTGGTTAATTGGAAATAAAGAGTCTCACAGACTTTCCTGCCCAGGCTGGCTGGAACTGCAAGCTCAGATCTCAGACTTTTTGAGTAACTAGGATTACAGGAATGAGCCATGGAACCAGGCAATTTTTTTTGTGGGTGGGGGTCCAGTCGTGGGGCCTGAACCCTGGGCCTGGGCACTGTCCCTCAGCTCTTCAGCTCAAGGCTAGGGCTCTACCACTTGAGCCACAGCGCCACTTCCGGCTTTTTTTCTTATGTGGTGCTGAAGAATCGAACCCAGGGCCTCATGCATGCAAGGCAAGCACTCTACCACTGAGCCACCTTCCCAGACCAAGCCAGGCAATTTTTTTTTTAATTGTTTTTTTTTTTTAATTTTATTTTATTTTATTTGTGAACAAACTGTACAGAGGGGTTACAATTGCATGGGCAGGATAATGCGTACATTTCTTACCAAGCATTGCAGCCTCCTCCTTTGTTTACCCTTCACATCACTTCCCAGCCTCCCCCCTCCCCCCCATCCCAATCCTTCTCCTTCCCCCCTCCCCCCTCCCCCCCCCACCGACGTTGTAAAGTTCGTTTTGGACATGACAACTTGTACGTCTCATTGTTGCATCAGATCCACCTGTATCCTTAAACAACTGGTTTTTCCCCATCTCCTCCACAAGTTATACTGACATCAAATATAGTGATAGCAGGGGTTATACTGTGGGAAGCCAGGCAATTTTTAATTGATCATTTAAAAAATATTTTTGTTACCAACATTCGAAGATACAAAATGTGTTTATTAATTTCTAATTCACTTGGTTATGATTTTTTGAGCCATAAAGTCAAAACTATATTGGCAACACTATGATAATATCTGCCTTTTTGCACTAGGCTGGGATTTGTGCTAATTGTACAAAGTTCGAATGGTCAAAAGCATGGAAATCTTAACATGAACCAAGGTAACCAAATTGTACTATTGTTTTCAGCCATAGGCACTCACACGAGAAAGAAGGTAACCTGTTTTATAAAAAAAAAAAATGCTTGTAGTGAAGCACTTTAATTTGAGCACATTTGAATCTATGATTGCACCTTCTCAGACTCAACAGGTATGAGAAAAGAATGAAGCAGGATAGGACAGCAGTGGAACCAGAAATGACATTGATGATAAAGGCTTGTATGTATTCTGAACAGTGAGGTTCTATACCTGGAATCATTCAGACTGAGCCAAAACTGAGGTGATAGTGCTAAACTCTCACTGGATTCTGGCTGACTGTGAAGGTGTCCTGACCTTGGGTGATAGGACTTTCTATAGCCAACAGCATTTCTACACATGAAAATGGCAAAGGAGGGCCTCCAAAAGTAATTATAAACCCTATTGAGAATGCCTTTATGACTTGCTCCAACCTTGTTTTGGGGAAAATTAGGCAAGATTCATAAAACTCTATGAATAAGTCACAGTTTTCATAGGTATTTTCTTTTATAATCCTCACAGTAACTTACAGGGAAATGTGAGTATAGTTATTTTCCTCTATCTGGAAGAGAGTAAATTAAATGATGATATTTAATAACCAGTAGGTGGTAGAGTTGGGATTTGCCCCCAAACAATCTAATTAGAGAACTTGTATCCTAATCTATTGGAATTGTTGGACAAAAATCTAGCTAATACCAGCACAACTATGTTTATTGCAGCATTATTTACCATAGCTAAGATATGGAACCAACCCAGATGCCCCTCAGTAGATGAATGGATCAAGAAAATGTGGTATATTTACACAATGGAATTCTATGTCTCCATCAGAAAGAATGACATTGCCCCATTTGTTAGGAAATGGAAAAACTTGGAAAAAATTATAGTAAGTGAAGTAAGCCAAGCCCAAAGAAACATAGGTCCCATGGTTTCCCTTATTTGCAATATCTAGTATATGTATGAGTCAAGCGGAAAAGGTCAGATAATGTGATGTCAGGAAAATGAACCCTTAGATATGTATTTTAATGTTTTTCTTTCATGCATGTGTTTCTAATG